CCCACAGTTCCAGCTGAAGATCATCATTTTGGGTTTTTAAGGTAAACCCAAAACCCTAAACCAAAAAAGCCTTCAAGTGCGACTTGGGGCTTAGGTGCTGTGAGGTCTCGATCGCAGAGCAGAAAGGGTCCCGAGGACGGGTTTGAACCACACATAGAATCTATCAGGGATTTGGGGCTCAGGGGGCCTGAGGGTCATTGGGTTTAGAAGGGGTTGAGGTGCCAGAGTCCTGGATGCAAAAAAGAAGGGGTTGAGGTTGCAGGGTCTAGATAGAATGCCATCTAAGGTCTCGGATAGTAGAATGTAAGGTCTGGGTTTGACAATCCACCAGAAGGGTAGTTGGGATAAGGAGAAGGTTTACGTTTGAGAGTTGCAGAACGTTGTTGGCCGCTTTTGGTGCTTTGGGCGTAGGATAGTACTTCGGGCTCAGGATCTGGAGGATGGAAAGTTTAGAGGAGAGAAGCGTGTCGGTTGCAGGGAAGTCTGCTGCTTAAAGTGGCCTTTGCATCTCGGCCCGGCAGTTTGGATAAGGCCTGGCATTTCTGAACTTTTCGATTTTCTGGTTTGGATGCTGGAAACCTGGCAAGTAGGTTTTACCGCAAACCTTAAACTCCAAACCCGAAATCCTTTGGGCGAGTGCGAGACGAAATTCTTTTGGGGGTGTAGCTTGGGTGGTACATGGGGTCGTCGCGCCACCGTTGTAGCCTCCAGCTGGGATGTGCCAATGTGTGCATCTTTGCTGTAGTGGCGATATCGATCTGGTTTGCATATTGGGTTCCTGGTGTTTAGGGTTGGATTATTTTGGGCTGCACATGCCGCGCCGGTGCATCGCATGATGTTTCATCTTTGAGCCGGTTGTCGTGAATCTTTACCAGTCCGAGAGTTGAAACCTTAAATCCTACCTTAACCTACCAAAACCAACTTTTTCGTAGGTTCTTAGTATAAACCCTAATATGGAATATTTGGGGACCCTACAAAAAAGTAGGTTCTGGTGGGTTAAGGTAAACCCCTAAACATGTCAGAGAGTGAGCGCTGGAACTCTGGACTCTGGACAGGCTTCTAAGATCGATGTCGAGGGTGTCGAGATCACCGACGCCATCGAGCTCAAGAGGTGGCTCGTTCGTCCCAGCTCCTTGGGATTCTTCACAACCTGTACTTAGTAGCTGAGTGAGTGCACTTTACACTTTTTGGGATAATATGATCCCTTATAGAACTGAAAGTGTACACTTTTTGGGGCTTATGAACTCAGCAACTAAGTGTAGTAATCTGGCACGGCTTGATATGACCGGCGTTTTCGTTGCACAGCATATAAGCCGTGGCGCCAGCCCCGTGGGAATTCGTGAAAGTGTCATGGGCATTGATCTTTTTTTATATTATTACTCAATAGCCGACATACACCTCATGTATAGATGTGCCGTAAACCCTATGTTGATTGATTTGTTATCGATTATGCTTGCTGTTATTATTCAGATGACGACCCCCCCATATTATGCTCGCTTCCTGGCTCCATCATATACCGTGCCCTGCATTGTTGTGTATGTATAACATAGAAGCCGAAATAATTACCTATACTACGTTGGAGGTTCCTATAGTAAAATATACCTCAAACCCTATTCTGATGATTAAGGCCCCTACATTAGTTTGGTTCTGATGACACCGTAGTGCTGTAAGGTTTGAATAGCAATGGCCACGCAGTAGTAGATATAGTCTTATCTTGACACCAACGGTATAGCAATATCCCCGTATTGTAGTTGCATCTTGCTGTACGGGAAGCTCTGTTCAGAAAGGTTTCCCCATTGGGCGGGAGTGTTCAGAGCAACTTTGCGACTATCGGGTGGACAAACAAGTATAAGCTTAAGGTATCTAGTAAGCCATAACCTACACTACTTATTGATCATGCAAGCCATGTTTCGCGTCTCGCTCTAAACTCTATACCCTAAACCGTGATAAACACTTGCCTGGTAGAGGCATGAGCCGGCAAAACCAGTGGCCCAACACGCCGAGGCCTTCAGGGTTTCAGGATGTTTCTGGCTAAGGGCTCCATCATTCTGTGAGGTTTAGGGTTTAGGGTTCAGGGTTTAGGGTTTAGGGTTTAGTGTCGGGTCGTGAGCCCTATATCCCCTAAGCTCTAAACCCTCGCCTGGATTGTCCGAGTGTGAGCTTCGAAACCCTAAACGCGAAGTGCAAGGGTTCCCTAATTTCAAGACCCCAACCCCCTAAATCCAATTCCTAAGAATTCTGGAGGCTTCCAGCTCGGAGCCCGAAATCTTTGACCCTGGAACAGAGAACACCATGAACCTCGCAGTACCATGTAGTACGAATCCTTACAGGGCTCCATGTACTTAAGGCACAGTATACTCCAAAACCCTGGTTCGGATCAACTACTGATTCAAGATGAAGGGCTAAGGCCCTAAACCCTAAACCCTAAACCCTAAAACCCTAAAGACCCTAAACCTTAAGCCGGAACTGCCTTAAGAAGCCTTCTGCTGCCGTCAGGAGCCTTTGGCCAGAGCTCGGCGCACCAGGAATCTGCCAACTGCATCAGAAGACGACTTGCTGGCGATGCTGCAGGCGGCTGCAAGGATCGGAGGGCTTGTTCAGTAGGTCATAAGTCAGAGGGGCTTAGGGTTTAGGGTTAGGTCATAAGTCAGACTAGAAGTAGGACAAGACTGGTTTGGAGGAAACCTAAAACCCAACTTCTAACTTCGAACCTACTTCCTCTGGTGGTCGGTCCCGAATAACAGAGGGACAGATAGGTTCTGTTGACAGCCCCACGGCCGGCCACAAGTCATTGGAAGGCGGGATTGTCTCGGTTTGTGCTTAGGTTTTATCGGCGGGGGATTGAATGCTTAAGGCTACACCCAAAGCGCATGAAAGTCTACTGGTGCAGCGAAACCTTGACACACACATACACAAACCCCAAGCCGCAAAAAAAGCCTTTAACACTGCAAACCTGCACCGAAAGTCCTACATCACCGTGTATAGATCCCGAAAGCTTATACAGCTCCTGCAGACTCCTAAACCCCCAAACCAGTGCCAAGCCCGAAGTGCAGTGGACCCTGACATCAGCACGTCGTGTGTTTGGTGGGCGGATGCCCCCTTAGGACTTCGCGGTACTTCTTCGCATAACAAACTCTAGCGGCACTAGCGTTACAGTATTACCCTGGTTCTTCGTCTTGCGTCTATAAAGACATTGCGGTTGTCACTGTCTGACTAAAGGCATGCCATCTTGGGAAGAAGCCCGACGTCTGACATGTGAAAGCCTAAGCTCTGAAGCGCAAAGCTTAAGCCCCAGCTCCCGGCCGCCCCAAAGCTCAAAGAATGGACCCCAAAGGTCGGCAACCCAGAAGCACAGGGCATTAGATTTATGAGTTCGGCTTTTAGAGCTTTGACTTCAGATTCGATGCTTATGGGTTGTTCAGTTTTTTGGGGTGCATGGTCAAGGGTACCTAAGGGCTATTCCGCAAGAGACTAAAAGGCAACAGAACTCCAATTCCACGAATGCTTGACCCAGACTGATCCATCCATAACCCTCAAGGCCAGACTCTTGACTTTCACCCTGTAGCCTGGGCCCTACGGACCCTGAAAGCTGAGGCTTAGCCGCCTTGAGCTCTTAGCGACCGTAGATTTTGAGTTTCGTTTAGTGCTCAAAGGTTCGAGATTCTGGTCGTATTAGTTGTAGTCGTCGTCGCATTGGCAGTAGAGTTTGCAGGAGTCGTAGTGGTCGTCGTCGTCGTCGTCGTAGTAGTCGTAGTAGCAGTAGCAGTAGTAGTAGTAGTAGTAGTAGTAGCAGTAGTAGTAGTATCAGCAGTAGCAG